TGTCACTGAGGTTCATTCCTTCTACTGTTGATTATACTATGTGGGTGACGAAAAGTGGAAGAGCTAGAGTCTTCCCCAAAAATGCCACTTGTCAATCGAAGAAATATCTTATTGTTGCATACAGACTGGAACCGTGGTTAATTTCTTTGTTGAGATCTCTATCCATCAATCTTTATTGCACCATTGGACATCCGGCTAAAAATAACTTTGTACAATCCTTCTTGTCACAAGCTATTATTACTTCGCTATGATGGACGGCTTATTGATTCACACAAAGTTCATGCATTTACTGCACCATTATCCTGATGACTCAATGATAAGAGATTAAATTAAATTAAACTTACCTCGCGTTGATGGGGTCGCAAAATCTTTGACAGCATCGGATCAACGACTACATGCACCAGCTGCTGTTCACTGAGAAATATTGAGGTAACAAGCTAACTTACGAGTCCTTCTTTAGGGCGTCATGTGCTGTCACCTCAGGTGGAGTGAAAAGAACTAGTGCGCCCTCTTCATATGGGTCATGCAATGAAATTTTTGATACGGAACGCCGAAGACCTAATGCTCGGGAGTCGCGTAAAGGGCCTAAGAAATAAATAATCCGGAGCCTCCGGCAATTACCTTCATAGTTGACCATAGGCACCTTGAACGGCCTGCAGAGAATACTGTGTATGAGATCCTCCTACGGTATTAGCATAGATTAGAAACAACAACAATTCGCTCGCACAACCTACATGAGCATTTTCATTATTGAGAACAGAGAGTGGTTTTCGGAAGGGTGAGATAAAAGATGTAGGTGAATAATCTTGTGAATGTACTGTAAGCTTGGGACATTTGACATTCGGCTAGAATTTTTCGGATTACTTGACGATGAATTCAACAAACCTCTGAAAAGGAGGGCACCTGAGAACACACTTCTCCATCGATGGATGAGGCATCTCCAGATAGTCGAAGAATTCGACTGGGTGCTAAGCTTCGCCTCTAAAATTGTTGATAAGTTGCACCGATAGTCAAATGCGATAACACTATCTTAACGACTACTCAAAAGCAAAATAAAAGACACCAAGCAGATAACATAGTTACAAGGGTTAACAATCATCCTCATCGTACAGCAAAATACAGTGAAGCTCACTTCGCTGATCGCTACCAACTAGCAATCTACACAAGATTAGTGAGAATCTGTAAGGTCGACAGAGATTAGCCTATTTTCAGGGAAGAAGGAAGCGAATCTCTTTGGTCAACACAGAGTAAACAGCCTAACTGTGCATACACACTTTGTGAAACATTCCGATCTAATAAGAAATGACAAAGAGAAGGCAACTGTCATCGGTTCGCTGCAATATGCTCTGGTGTCTCCAATCAGCCAGCTGCGAGTTTTTAGACCTTAGCTTAGAAACCGAGAGATACTCCGCATTTTTTCATTTTTAGTTTGTACTTCCCTTCTTGCATATACAATTTTTGGGAACGAGGAAGTGGTCAATCAAACGGCTGCCTAATAGCCATGAGTATTGCTTCACACCTAGTTTCCACGTGGTTTCCTCTAGCCTGGAGCGGCTACAGCTAATAAGACACAGGGTGGGAGACCACAGCTATGTATGCGTAATACATGACCTAATCAGTCCACTAATCTGACTTTGATGCTCTTGCAAATATAT